AGGGCACAGTTGTGCCTTTCTCAGAGGGGACATCTGGTAGAATCCCAGCTTATTTTTGGCAATTCAGTGACACGCTCCCTGCACTTCTAGGAGACCCTTGGCTTCCTCAGGAATGACCCATTTGTGGCTGAATGGTTAGCTGGTCTCTGAGTCCTCGTGTCTGTTCTGTTATTTTGAAAATTTCCAAATTAGGGTCTTATACTATTATTTGGGATGGTGTGTGGGTAAAACCTGGTTTTTATTTTTACTATTCAATACATAAAATTTTGTTTGGGGAAATGGTAGGCATATGTGTAAACAGAGATACATCCCTGAGCTTCTCCCTGCCTAGCTTCAATAACTGCCAATAACCCACCTTGTCTCTCTGTACCCTACTAGTTCTCTACCTTCTGCATGATTTTAAAGCAAATCCAAGATATTGTTTCATCTGTAACTTATCATTTCATCCATATTTGTCTACCTTTAAAATATAAATTATTTTTCAAAAGGCATACTCATATTACCATTAACATACATAAAATAAAATAATTTTTAATATACTCAATCCAATTTCTATATAGATCTCTAATTGTCTCATGAAAATTTTAACATGAATTTTAAATGCCAGTGTTTTTGTCAGCTTCTTTTTGCTGCTGTGACTAAAATATCTGACCAGAACAATTGTAGAGGAGGAAAAAGGTTATTTGGGAGCCCACAGTTTCAGAGGTCTCAGTCCATAGACAGCTGGCTCCAGTCCTCAGGGCTGGGGGTGAGGCAGAACATCACGGCAGCAGAGTGTGACCAAGGGAAGTAGCTCACACGATGATCAGGAAGCAAAGAGAGAGACTCCACTTGCCGGATACAAAATATATACCCCAAATCTACACACCTGATGCCCATCTTCTCCAGCCACACGTTACTGGTCTTCAGTTACCACTCAGCTCATCCTCATCAGGGGATTAATTCACCGACTGGGCTCTCATAACCCAGTCATTTCTCCTCCACACCCTCTTGCATTGTCTCACATTAGCTTTTGGGGGATACTTCACATCCAAACCACAACAGCTAGAAAAGTAAAGAGTCAGGGCCAGAAGAATGGAGTCTAAGTCTCAGATTCACTTTCTTTCCTGCTGAGTAACTTTAGATAATCCCTTTGCCTCTGTTTCTTAGAATTTTAGGGCTGGGAAAGACCAATTCATCTAAATACTTACAGATGATGCTGATGATAATAAAGGAAGAGTCACGATTCCGTTGCAAAAACTGAAACTAGAGTTCACATTTATATAACTTCTGTATTAGTGACCAGATCAGTAAACGTCCACTGAATTCAATAAAAGCCACACAATCTATCCTCTTTTGTCCTCATTAAAGAGATATGTTAGTGTCAGAAGATCCTTATCTTCTCTTCTTATAGATAAGTGCTTTTCAAGATGAATATCTACAGGAGCTGCTTTCAATTTAAGGCTTTTTTTTTCTTTCTCAGTACTGGAGATGAAACCCAGGGCTTTGTGCATGCGAAGCAAGTGCTCTACCACTGAGCTACCCTCCCAGCCCAAGGAACAAAATCTTAACACAGTATTTGTTTAAAACCCACAGTCAACTCCTTTAATAAACTCATGTTAGTTAGACTGAAAGTGGGGAAGGAATTAAGGAAAAAAAAAAAGAGGAATTTGTCAGTGATTCTGGAAGTGAAGCAATGCCATTGGTAGTTTTAGTGTCACATGAAATAATGGGCGCATTATAAGTTATAAAGTGCCATAAAATTATTATTAGAAAAATGTGGATCTCCAGATGGTTCTAAATTGCACTTAGTATTTTTCCCATTGAATTTCTATTAGCACCAATCATGTTTCTCTTATAAAGAAAAAATAATGTATTCTCTATCAAAATTTAGAAGACAAGATGAAGAAAGTGAAAATAGCCATGTCTTAGTCTGTTCTTTGCTTCTACAACAAAATACCTTTGTAAATACCTAGTTCTGTTATATAGTGTGTATAGTTCATTTAGCTCACCGTTCTGGAGGCTGGAAAGTCAGGAGCATGGTGCTAGCATTGCTCAGCATCTGTCGAGGGCCATCTTGCAGCAGTGTGACTAGTAGACAGTTTCATGGTGAGACAGAGCAAGCATGCCAGACAGCTCACTATTGAAAGAGCTGCCCCCTTGATAACCCATGAGTCCTTTATTTCATTTGTCCACGAGTGGACTAACCCATTCATGAGGTTGAGCCCTTATGACCTAATCCTCCATCATGGGTCCTACTTCCAAATAACTTTGATGTGTAAATTTGGGGATTATTTTTCCAACATAGGAAATTTTGGAGGCACATTCAAACCATAGCGAGCCAAATGAAGACACATGTTGACAGGAAATCAGAATATTACTTAACAACTCTTGGAAGATTAAAAAGAAAAAGACCACTGTCAATACCTTCTCTTGAATGCCTGCATGTGTCGGGGTGCAGGTGGGGTGGGCAATGGATCTAGTAGGGCAGAGGGAAGAGGGAGGAAATGAACCAAGGCGCACCTGCACTTCTCCTTGGGGTTTGATGAAGGAGAATGGAGACTTCACCTTCTGTACCTGCAGCTGCAGGTGAGACTGGGCTGCCAGGAATGCTGTGCATGCCTCCCCTTCAATGGGTGAGATCTTCCACCAGGAAAAGAGTTTGGGAAGGGCAAGGGGTGAGTGCCTTCTCTCTCTTTGGAGTCAGCAGGACCCAAGGTTTAAAGAGGCTGGGTTTCTGCTCTTCTAAGATCTGTGGAGCACACTCTGTCCTTCACCTGAGCTCCAGGGCCCACACATCTACATGTGATCCTTTCACCTAAATGTAGAGAGGACTCTAAAACCCCAACCCTGTTCAAACATCACAGGTGAAGAGTCTGCTGCTTCCTGAGGGGTCCTAAGGAAGGGACGGACTGCAGAGGGGCGCAGGGGTGGGGGTCTCCACATGGACAGCCTTGAGAGAACTCAGGAGGAGTCTGCAGAGTCCTGTACCTAGAGCCCTTGGCTGGCTGTGACTGGTCAAGGGCAAGTAGATGAAGATTCACAATTACCTTGACAACCGGGTAACAGAGCCGTTCCTTGGCAGTTTCCAGACTCCCCCTCCCTTCTCCCTGCACAACCACAGAACACACATCCACAGTTTTCCTCTCTTTAATAGGCCTCCAGGATCACAAGACGCTTATATGCGAGGAAATGAGAGAAAATGAGGAAAACAGAGGGATCCCAGATGTGCGGAAGGAGAAAAGGTTTTCAAGCATGGGAGGGAGGTTGTGTCCCAATGGCTCTTCCCCCTGGGGACAGGAGGGAGGAATCAGGAACAACCCCATCCCTCCACCACTTTTATTATGGAAACTTGCCTTAATCCATTGGTGCCCACATGATTCCTGGTACCAGCCACCCTCCCTCTCTTTTAATTGATGCCACATGTCAGGAGTGTGGTGGGCCCTGGAGCCACAAATTCAAAGAGACAGAGTCCCAACTGTCGTGGGACACAAGTTTTTTGTGGGGGAGACTAGCAAGAAAATTGAGCTTGGGACTGAGAGAGGTCTGGCTTGGAGGGGAGGGGGTGAGAGGAGGTCTTCTGAAGAAGAGTCATTAAAGCCAAGATCTGAAGGATGATCAGGAAAGATCACCAAAGACAGAGGTGTTGCACTCTGCAGAGCGACTACATGGGAGGGCACGGAGGCAGGATCACACCGGGCCCTGCTCGAGAAAATAGAATTGAACTGAGGTGACTTGGTGAATGAGGGTCAGTAGAGAAGGTCAGATGGAATAGGGTCCTGAGGGCCACAGAAGGTGTTTGAATTTTATTCTTAGTCTGACAGCTTAAACCCAAAGTGTGTAAGCCTGAGGATGGTGTCACAGGACATATATTCTAATCTCAGCGTGGCTGCTGGGTGCAGGTGGGACGGGAGGGTGCCAGAGTGGAGGTAGGTGGATCACTTGGTCAATGGTTTTGGTCCAGGTGAGAGCTGATGGAGACCAGGTAAGAGAATATATGATGGCGTTCCTGGAGCAGGTCTAAGCTTTCATGTTCTTTTGTGTTTTGTTTGATGATTACCTTTAACTGGAAAAAACACCATACGCACACCTAAATAAATAAATAAATAAATAAAAGCAGTCAAGACAGATCTGCAGTCCAACCCTCACATTCCCCACTTCCTGAGTGACCTTGAAAGTCACCTAAACTCAAGTGTGAAAAATGAGAGTCTGCTCAGAGATTGGGATAATTAATGTAAGGTGATTAGATGCCTGGCATGGTTCAAGGCTCAAAAAATGGAAGCTAATGTTATTGGCCGCTGAAAACTTCAACTCATGCTGCCCAGTTTCCGCTTTATTGGGTTGAACAGGGAGTACTTTCTCTCTCCTTAGTAAAAATATGAATTTGCAACAAAATAGGAAGATTCATGTTTACAAAAGAAATCTAGAGGGGGCTATCAGAGGGTAATTTTAAATATGAAGTTATAAGCTACATAATGGGAAGAATAGTACATTGTGGTCACCGAGGGTGAGTTTTGGAGCCAGAGAGATCCTTGGGTTTTGAGTCCTTGATTTGCCACTTGCCAACTGTGTGAACCTCAGGAATGTCACGTCACCTCACAGAGCCCATTTTCTCATCTGCAGAGGTGGCTAATGGCCATGCATTCTGCATAGGGTCGCAGTGAGGAGTGAACCAAAAAAATTCACTACAGGTGTTGGTTGGCCCAGGTGTAGGTCCTAGCAAGGGCTCGGCAGATGGAGCCCTGGAGGAAGGAGGGAACTTACACTGGTATGTTAGGGGTTAGGAAACTCGTCTCCCTCAAAGGTAAAGCTTCTCTGAAATGACAGCACTGTCACTGGAGAGCAAAGTCCATTTCACTATGCTTCTCTGGGCGCTTGGTGGGTGGGTGTTTCAGTCTGCTAGGACTCCCGCAGCAAAGCACCACCTACTGGTGACATAAACAACAGAAACTTATTGTCTCCCAGTTCTGGAAGCTGGAATTTTGAGATCAAGGTATCAGTAGGACTGGTTCCTTCTGAGGCTGGGAGGGAAAATCTGCTCCAGGCACTTCTCGGCTTCAGGCGGCTGCCACCAGTCCTTGGTGTCCCTTGACACATGGCTATATCACCCTGATCTCTGCCATCACAGTCATACGGTATTTTCTCTATGTGTGTGACTCTGTGTCCAAATTTCCTCTTTCTATAAAGACACAAAATTCATACTAAGGGCTGATCTTAATGTCCTCATCTTAACTCGATCATTTGCAAGGTTCATATTTCCAAACAAGGTCACATTCTTGGGTACGGGGTTAGGACATCAACATCTTTCTGGCAGGGACACAGTTCAACCCACAATAGTGGGGATGCCAGCATTGCTCCCAGATGGGATCGGAAGAGGGTTCTAAGCTAGTGTGAAGATTGGGGAGAAAGTGGGAGCCCCAGACTGATTCTGGGTGTACAAATTATCCTCCCTGGAAGTTCCCTCTTTAGCAAGTCAAACACTCCCAAACAGGCAACTGGAATTTGCTCATGTGCAGCCAATCTCACACGAGTGCACTCTGGCACTTGTAGTAGCTCCTGGACAACTGAGCAAATGTCTGCTTGCATCCTGCTTGGCCTCGAACTTTGCTGGAATTGAGCCTTGGAATTGTTATCACTAGGCCACTGGGGATGTTGTCCAGATTGTGTATTGCACAAATCGAGGGGAGACCATTTACACTCTAGCCTATTTTGTAGGAAAATATGCAGAAATCTTGAGACCACACCAATCCGTACACCCTGGTTACTCTCCTCAACGGATTTTTCTGCTGTTATGTATTTCTGATCTACCATTGGAACTCAGCAGTGTGTGTGTGTGTGTGTGTGTGTGTGTGTGTGACAGAGGGGGAGGGAGAGAGAGAGAGGGAGAATGAGACTAGAGGGAGGAAGGGAAGACAAACAGGAGAAGCAGCAAGTCACAGTAGAATATCCTGAATATAATACTTCAAAATGGCTAACAATGGGAAAAGCAAACGTTTAATGATAGTTCTGACAAGAAAATCCATTAAATGAGGACAAAGAAGCCACCCAGCAGCTTTATTAGTGGAAGAACAATTGTGCTAATTATTAAGAAATAAGAGAGGGAGGAAAATTAAAAGTGGAGCTTCTGCTGTGCACTTGACAGCATGTGGGACTTAGAGCAAGATCTCCAGATCAAGCTTGGAGCCGGAGCTCAGAGGCGGGCTTCTTTTCAAGTGAAGAAAAATTATTTTTTTCTTTTTAGTTGTAGTTGGACACAACACCTTTATTTTATGTATTTATTTTTATGTGGTGCTGAGGATGGAACCCAGGGCCTCACCTGTGCTGGGTAAGTGCTCCGTCACTGAGCCCGAGCCCCAGCCCCAGCTGAGGCATTTGATGTTGAAGTAACAGGATGACAAGACCCAAGGATGAAGTGTTTAGTGCTGGGAAGAGGGTGCTCCTTGTTTTTATAAGCTGATGTGTCAAATGCAGGCACTGCAAACGCGACATGATTACAACTGCTTTAACGACTCACAAGAAAAAAATACATCAAAACGTTAAGGGTGGTTATCTTTGGGTGGCAGGATATTATGGACCCCTTCTTCTTTCTCTTCCTCCTCTTCCACTTTCTCCTCCTCCTGCTTCTTTATTTTCCTTATTTTCTCAATGAATATAAATTTTAAATCATTTTTTAAAAATTGCAGTGCTTAGTGTAGATTAAATGCCATATCAAAATTTTCCTTCTAAAATGGCTTAAAAGCCATTGCATGTTTTTGTTTTAGAAAAGTCTTTAATGTAAAAGGAACTGGGTTATTCTCAAAGAAAATGCATATTCCAGGACATGCAATATTCAATTAAGATGAATCCACACTCGGCCTTCAAAAAAGCTAAGGATAAGTTTTATTTTTGCTTAGTCCTGATTTTGGTGTAGATGAAGCTCAATCCTTCAGCATTTGAATGTTATATTAAAAGGCAGACCTCTAGGGGCTAGAAAGCAAATTCTCAGGCTTGGCTAGCCAGTGCGCTTTCTGAAGGCCATTTTGTTTTTATGATCATTTGGTTCAGAATTAATTATGAGAACTACTTTGCATAGGCATCGCTTCACGTTCGAAAGCTGTATGTACCTTTTGAGGATTCTCCCACTCACCTTGTAGATATAGATTATCAAAGTTGATTTCTTCTTTGTTCCTAACCTTTTAATGTTCTGGTCTATAAACCTCAGAAATAATTATCTTTTAGGGCCCACAATCTTAGAACATCGATCAGGTTATTAAAACCACCTACTGGGCTGCAGGTATAGCTCAGTAGTGGAGCACTTGCCAAGGTTCCAAGTTTGGTCCCCACCACTCCAAAATATTTTTAAAATAAATAAAAATCCACCAATTATGGTGGCAAGCACCTAAGGAATTTGGAGATAGCCAGAAGGAGCAAGAAACTTGAAAGATGTTATTGAGGGGAAAAAGAAAAAGAGGAAGAGACATGGAATAAAAAAAAAGTTTCTTTGTCCTGATTCAACACTCACAATTTCATGTCTTTTTAAATGTTTTCTTCTCAAGCAGACATAATCTTATTGTAAACAAGATCCTCAGAAGGCAACTTATAACAGTTTAAAATTTTACTGAGGTCTTGGTGTCTTCCTAGTCGCTTAAACCACTAAAATGATTTGTGATCTTTCAAGTGCAGGACAACAGAGTTATGCTGTCATGGATGGAGAACCACGTGCCCTAATCTAGAGGGCTGGAGGGCCTTCACGGCCTGGGACGCACATGCCAGTCACGTTCATTCTGTTCAGAAGTGTGTTTGAGTGCAAATCTCAGGGGTTTGTACTCAGGGCTAAAGGGAGCCCACGAAATCTTCATTTTACTTGGTAGGTCCAACCCTTACTATGAAGTCGAGAGAAAAACCTAGATAACAGCTTATCAATAGCACAGTGTGGTGAAATCCTCATGTCAACAGCAGGACGAAATAAAGTGGTATGGTACCTCGAGGGGAAGGAAGGTCTACTCACATCATCTTTCCTCCCCTTACCTTGCCCTCCTGAAGTCGGACCCTGGACCACCTCACCTGTGTCCTTGGAACACGGTTTATTCCCCTACCCTCACCTCCCTCAGGTTATCATAGGGACATCATCTTCAGACACCATCTGAGACCACACCCCTAGCATGTCTACTCCCCCCGTGGGATTTATTTTTCTCTAATAACTTATCACTATATTTTCTACTGATTTACTTATTTTATAATCTGTCTCCCCTTCACCCACACTAGGCTATCAGCTCCTGAGGGCAAAGACTTCTATCTGTTTTGTTGACTGCTCCATCCCCAGACCTATAAGTAGCATTGGAGTTTGGGAGTTGTATTGTTTTTGTTCCCCTGTGGAATGGAGTCTTATAGCACATTGCCAGAGGAATTAAGGGAGAAAAAGCTAAGGAGATTACCACCTCAACCTGGGTAAACCCCCTTGTTACAATTCAATGGCAGCAAAAGAGCTCAGAAGGGATACTGAAAACTCAGTTCACAGTCATTGCTGCTGCCCTGGGGGTGGGCAAGGTCCTGAGCAGGGCTTTTTATCCCTTCCCCCAAACAGTGGGGAGATTGGGGCACAGAGAAAATACAGAGGTAGTCCAACTTCGGTCCCAGCCATTGGACAGGGGTCAGGAATGTGGACAGTGTCCGCAGGGGCTGCGTCCCCATCAGTGGTATAATACCCTGACCTGGGACAGGACAGGCCACAGCCAGTGACCCTAACAGACTCTTCTTAGGCAGACAGGCCCTCCCACGACCTCCAGATACTTGGAACCACCACCAGCTCCACAGTGACGCCATAGAGAACCCTTTCCACTGCTGTCCTTAATGAAAGCTCTATTTTAATGTTTAGCCTTAGTGTCACACCGTCTGGAAAGCCATTGGGACTTTCCTTTTTTTTTTTTTTTTTTTTTTTTTAACTAGAGCTTCATAATTATACCTAGTATTTGGGTCCAACATGACAAACTCATACAGGCATGGAATTTGATTTCAGTTCATAATCCCCCTTTTCCCTCCCATCCTCCTTCCCTGCCCCGATCTCTTCCTCTACTAGACTTCTTTTCACTTACCTATTTATTTGTATTTGATTAGCTCTTCTTACTTATGCACAAAGGTGAAGTTCCCTGTGGTATAATTACATATGCACATAACGTGAGTTTTAAAGAATTCATTCTGCATTGCCCACCCGCCTTTCCCATCCCTCCACTCTGCCATTAGGACTTTCAATAGGCCACTTACAATTTTAATTATTTATAAACAAATATGTATATAGTACCTGCTATATGTCAGTCAGTGTTTTAAGCATGTTATTATAGGGACATCATCAAATTTATTTTTTTATTAACATATGTGAATTATGTGAAATATGTGAATATGTGCACAGCAAATATTAACCCATTTTATCCTCACAACAACCCTGCAGGGTAGGCTTATGTTAGTATTCTAGCTAGGGAGGAACAAAAGCGAGGCATGGAGGTTGGCAGCACCAGTGTGTGGTGCCAGTTTTGCACTCAGGTGATCTGACGCCACTCCTTGCCTAGGGCTATGACTACACTGTCCATTCAGCTCAGAACTCAAAGTGATATTAGGCTGCTGGGTTTCTAGTCTCACCCTTCAGATCCCCTTGGCTGCACCTTCTAGGGTTTCTTAGGAGGCTAAAAGCAAACTCCCCTCCAAAAAGTACCTGAGGCTGCTCTCCCGCCAGGTTTCCATGTGGCTTCCCTTACTCCTGCTTTTTGGGAGAAACAAGGCCCAATTCTGTGACCTTGTTTCTCTGATTCTTACCCTAACAACCAGTGTGAGACACAGCAGAAAGGATCTTTCTAAGGACATAATTTAAAATGATACCTAAAAATGTCAACCTGCAAGTAGAATAGTGATTACTAGAAATTGGGAAGGGTCATGGTGGAAAGCAAGTTTGCATTTGATAAATGTACGTATATGCAAGTAAGGATATATCATCCCAAACTAATTAATAGGTACAATCCACATATGTTAATAAAAAAAAGATAAAAAAAATTATAGCTGGTCTGATGTGGCTTTGACACCGTGGACTGTGACTAATTTTTTTCATTGTACTTTGAAATCTTACTGTGATCTTGATCCTAGATAAAAGATATTAGCACAAGTGTTGAAACAAGCTTTCCACACACATAGACAGATGAATGCTTCACACCAGTGCATACAAATCACCTTGGGGTCATGTTAAAACACAGGTTCTGGTTCAGTGGATCTGGAGTTGGATTCTGCATTTCTAGCTAGATCCCCAGTCATGCTAGTAGAGCTGGCCAAGAACCACCCTTGGCGTAGCAAGATTCGAAAGCACTTCTCTTACTCTTAGAAAGGAAGAACTCTGCAAAGGGGAAGAGTATATTCATATTTTCTCCTGAAATAAAAATATTTGAAAGCATGATTTTATTGCTCGGAGCTATATGCCTGTGTGGGATAGTAATAATAAATAAGTGATGGTTGAATACAATAAGTTGTTTGCATCTAAATTAGCCACATATGCACTGTCCCTCAGCTTTTGATGTGGTCAGTGAGTGGAGCACGTTTGGGATGCTGAACAGTGTGCACATTTCAGTTCAGAAACTCTTCTTAAGGGAGGAAATGGAAGACCTGCTTCATAAAGAAAAAGGACAAACATCATAGCAGCCGTGAAGAGAGGCTAATGGGTTAAAAAAATCAATAAAAAAAAGAGAGAGAGAGGCTAATGGGTACTGATAACAATTTTGAGCCAAGCACGCTCTCATATTTATTTATCTATTTATTTTTGATCTCATATTTATTAACTCTTTTGTTTTCTAAAGTAGTTTGGGAGGTAGGTGTTGGAATAATCACTTTCCAAGCACACAGGTTGAGAAGGCCGAGTAACACAACTTGTATGCAGAAGGATTAAAATCCTGGTCTGCTTAAGTCTCAAGTACCTGTGTTCTTTCTGTCTCCAGGTTCTACCCCAGCTGCCTGTGTAGGGCAATGGAGATGCTTGAGAAGGAAAAGGTAGAAAGGAGACCATCTGACAAAGAATTTCAAGCCATTGACCTGTGAAGGCCATGGCCAGGCTTGTCTGTAGAGCATCAAGGGAAAGAAGAAGGAATTTAGAGGAGTTAAACTCCTCTGGGGAGGAGTTCTAGTGGGGACAGGAAGTGGGTTTTGTTTGTTCCAACTCATCTTGCAGATTAGTGTGCAGTAAGGGGTTGGCTCAGCAAGCCTGGGTTGACCAAAACCTGTATATTCCAAGGAAAGATCTGGCCCTTGGTTGACTCCAGGGAGACATCCCTTATGCCCTGGGAATACCTGCCTTGTGAGAAAAGTCTTTGTTTATCTGGTCACCTTGAGTCAGTCCCACTAGATAGTCTATGTTTTGGTTTAGATCTAGAATGTCCCACAAAAGCTCCTGAATTGAAGGCTTGGACCTTCATGCAGTGAGCCTCAGAGGTCAGTTTTGGGGCCGTGATTGGATCATGAGGACTGTAATCCTCACCAGTGGATTGATCCATTGGTAATTCATAAGTTGATGGTATTATTGGGAGGTGGTAGAAATCGTAGATGGTGGGCCTATTTGGAAGAGATAAGTCATTAATGGTGTGCCCTGGAAGGGTCTAGCTTGTCCCCAGTCCCTTCCTTTCTCTTTCTCTTTCCTTCTAGGCTGAGCTGAGCAGCCTTCCTTCACCATGGTCTTCCTCCATGGTGCTCTGCCTCACCTCAAGCCCAAAGCAATGGTGTCAGCCGACCATGGGATGAAACCTCTGACAACTGTGAGCCAGAATAAATCATTCGTCTTTTAAGTTGTTAACGTCACGTGTTTTAGTCACAGCAATGGAAGGCTATCATAGTTTGTGTCAACAGTATGATGGATGGTGGAGTCTTGGCTGTGGCGTATCAATTTGACCCCTGGCAGGTCTAAAGACTAAATAACGGTCAGCCACATGGGCACTCCATGTCTACATGACTGAGCACCCAAGATTCCCGGACACCAAGACTGAGGGGAACTTTGTTTTAACTTTGTTAAACCTTTTATGTGTTGTCAGAGAGTGTGGGAGGCCGTCCTCACACTGATTTGAGTTCCCTCCCTGGCTGGGTGACAGTGCTTAGACACAGCTGTGTCAGAACCTTCCCCACCCTTTCCCAGGCCAGAGGGTTTGTCTGCAGAGGCGTGCCTGGCCACTGCCCCGAAGACCCAATCGTCGCCTCTGACCTTGGGATGCTGCCCCCCCCTTTAACTTTCATTGGATGGGACTTTCTTTGGAATTTTTTGTTCCCCAATAAAAGCTCACTCCCTGGTGTGTTCTCGCTCTCGCTAGTCTGTTCTGTAAACCCCACCACCACATTAGGTGCCTGGAGGCGGGAGCTAGGAGAAGCCATCTTGGAGCTGATATTAAAGGTAATGAGAGTCTGTCTCTTGAATTTAAAACTCACTAGCAATTACTTATGAATCGAACCTTCTTTCATGAAGCCAGCGCTGGCCGCGTGGCACAAGAGAACCTTGCTGGAGAATTGAGGGCTGTCCAGTGGAGGTAACACCTGGAAAGTTTTGCATCTGGTCTCTCCTGAACTCTGTCCTATGAACATTTTACCCTTGCTAATTTTAATCAGGGTCCTTTCAGTGCAATAAACCATAACCCTGAGCGTAACAGTTTTTCTGAATTTGTCAAGTTTTTCAAGCAAATCATTGAATCTGAGAGTGATCTCGAGGATCACCAATCGCCGATCATTAAGGATCAACTGGAGGGAATGAAAACTAGTTTGAAGACTGGTTTGGTTCAGATCAGTAGGAACTTATTGAGCACTTACTACACCCCAGGCATTACTAGTTATCAGGATACAAAGATGAAGTCAGAATCCCCACTCTTCAAGACAATTTTGTTCCCAAGGAGACACCAAGGAGAACACTAATTTTTAAGCAAGTGATAAATACCACAGTACATGGCATGGTAGCATGGGACTAGAGGAAGCTCACTTAACCTGAGGCTGAGGAAGGAAGGCTTCCTGGGGTACCTCTCCAAGGACCACCCTGAGCATTTTGGGGGCTTGGTCACAGATCTTGGAGCTGTCTTTCTGCAATTTAATAGTTCACCGTCGGGGTATTTGTGTCTGGAGGCACTGGGTTAAAGTGAAGCGGTCTCTAGTTCTATTTTTCACAAACCTAGTTCTCTGCTAAACTCAGCGGATTGCATAATTCATCAGATACCAAAATCAAAGTGGTCTTTCATTGGAAAAAGAACACAAAGAACAGACTCTCTGTGTGGCTTATCCCAGGCTACCTACTAGGATTTGGGGATATTCTGCCTCAGATAACTGCTGGTGTCTCCAAGCACCCCTGAGGTCAGAATGCTGCCACATTGAAGTCATGGGGCCTGGTAGGGCATTTTCCCCAGTCTTATTCACCCCTGGCAGTAGGGAAGAAGTTCTTAAATTCCACCTGTTTTCCTGGAAGGCACAGGGGCTGGAAGGTCTTGCTCATTTAAGATCAGGGGTGTTTCATTCTTTCTCACTTCTTGGGGACATTGCTACAAAGAGGGTATAAGGGAACAGAATCCTTGGTCTCCCATTTCTTTATGTTCTTCTTTTATAAGTTCCTCACATCTACTCTATAAGGTGCTATCCTCTACCCTATACTTATTTTTGAAATACTTTACTCTTCAGTTCCATTATTTCCAAGATGCCTCCTCTCCATGTGTGTGTGTGTTCCACTGCTTATATCAGTGTGATGTGTCAGGCTAGATCCACACAGGCAATCCTCCTGTATAATGCCCAACAGTGTGGGGGTCTTTCCACCGAGGCCACTCCCCATGGCTCAGATCATGACGATTGTGAGTTGTGTCCTGTCCTCTTGACCACTCTTCAGACAAACCACAGAGGTGCAATGATGTACCTCTCATTCAGGAATCTCCCTCTCCCTCCAGTTCTCCACCTCTAAGGACATCTTTCCTTCTTTGGCTGTCTAGCATCTCTTTAGAGTTCTTTTGTCTACTGTGTGAATATTGATGAGAGTCAAAACTCACCAACAAAGAGAAGCTTATAACTCTCTACACCTATTTCCTTGGCCCCCTTCAATGGTGCACCCACCTGGGATTCTGACGTGAGAGCTGTACCTGAAAAACAAACAAACAAAACGGGACATGGATTCATCCTGGAGGACTGTAAGATGTAGGCAGAGGCAGCCACACGCATCTCCAGGGCAGGAGCAGAAGCCGGGCAGGTTGTCCTGAGTCTGACAGCAGCATCCTCAGGATCCCGACCGCATCAGAATGTGATTCTGGCACCTGTTACCTCCTAACTGTGTGACGGGCTTCCAGCTATCCAGGTCTGGTCAGGAAATTACTTTTCCATTTCTATCAGGCAGAACCAGTTTTTTTCACTTAAGCCTAGAGATACTGATTGAGAAATAAGACCATTTAAAAAGCACTTACCTCCCGTCATCTTCTCTCCTCGGCTTCTGGCTTTCCTAACTAGATGTGAGCTAGAAACTTTCTAAAAGGCACATGGGTAGAGAGAACAAACTCTTAAATTGAGAACAAAGATGCTAAAGATGAGAATTTCTCTCTTCACCGCTAACCAGGAAATAATGGATCAAGAGTCTCGAAGGTAACTAGTAATTCCAGCTTCTCATAAAACCTTTAAAAATTTGTCAATGGCAGTAATAAGGAGAAAAATAATAACTTTCCCTCTTTTTGCCTTCTGAATCTCTCTCCATTTTTTTTTCTTCCATCTCTTACGCAATAATCCTCAAAGCATGTACCTTTGGTCTACTCAGGATTGGAATGTGTACTGTCAATTTCCTTTTGGATTACAGCTTTCAGTTGGCTATCTACGTAAGACTTTTACTATCTATTCCTATACAAAACCAGTGAGAACAATATTATTCTTTATCAAATACTTCAGCCTCTGCCCTCCCCATCCCGCCCCATCCCACAAGCAGAGAGCAGACACAATCGTTTAAAACACACAACATGATCTTCTTTATTTAATTGTTTAATCAGTTTACATTCCACAACTGACAGATTATTTATTTTATTTTTTTTCCTTGACCAGTTCTTTTATTTATTTCCCGGCCCTTTTTTTTTCTTCAATCGATGGAAATACAATATTTCTGCCAATTTGAAAAAGAAAATTGCAAGATGCAGTCAGTTTCAGTGAAGTCCCCAAATGCTCTCTGCTTCCTCAGTCCTTTCAAAGTCACAGGAACCTGGCAATTTCCCTTTTCATTCCCCCCTCCCACTTCCCTGTTAAATTCCTCTTAGAAATCACAAGAGTTTCAAGATCTGGTTTGGATCACCTTTTCTGTAATTAATTAAGTATGAGAAGGAACAGACAGTACAATAGATCTGATAAGATGTAGCATTCTTGTTAAGATTAAACAATACATTTATTCACATCATATCAGAACAAATTAACATAATATTTAATCTTATTTTAGCACCAATAACCACAGGAATTGCTACCTCCAAGGGGAGAGTTGTTAGAATCCTGCAGTATACACCACTCCTTGTCTAACCAATCAGAAAGCACTATGCAAATTAAAGTAAAGGTAAATAAATTTATATTGACTGAGCAATAATCTGGCGGACCATAAACACTCCAGGTGTTCGGGAGTTTTGTCGGCGATGGTCCCTGTCTAATGACCATATATAAAACATACTCACCAAATCAGCTCATTTTCTCTCGCTTGGTAACACAGGGCTCAGAATGTTATATTTTAAATGAATCAAACCTTGTCATACTGGCTCTTTGAAATGCTTTGAGAATGCCCAGGGGTTTGGTTGCTTGTGTTCTATTCTGTTCTCTGCACTAAGATCTTGCTCCTTGTCTTTTTTCCTGAACCAAAGAGGTTTCTTCAAACCCAAGGAAGGTGTGTAAGCAGAGAGGAGAGGTAGGCAACGGTGGCCTGAGTCACAGTGCAAGGATAGAACTTGTCACTGCCACCTCCCAGGAGACCCAGCCCACCTGTGGCTGCCGCTCAGTGTACCTCCTTTTTAGCATTTGATTTTAAGCTAGAAAATTAAGGAATGGAGAAAACAGCTCCGAATATTGGTGAGATGTTCTTAGCAGGCAACTGCACCAGATGACAGATGGTTGTGAGCTCTTTTTTCTTCACAGAGAGAAGGCCTGTCTACCCCTCCCCACTGAGAGATAAAGGACATCATAAGGCAGTGGCTGATGCACCTACAGCCTAAAAGATCACGACCTGCTTTGCCCTCTAGGACTTGGGTAGGTCATGAGGGTGGGGTTCCCTTACTGAGTAGGTGAAACAGAACTTCCAGAGGCTAAGACAGCAGCTGGACATTGCTCTGTGCTTTCCACTCTCAGCCAACGCAGCCAGCCTCCTGCCTCTGTCAGCAGTGATACGATCTTGGTAGTTAGCGATACACAGGGAAGAGTGGTCCGCTCAGTCTCTTAAAGAAGACCCTAAATCTGCCCTGGCCTAGACAGCATTCAGAAGCCACACATGGCAGTAGAGCACTGGAAATGTGACTGATTCAAATTAAAATTGTTTTTTTTTTTCAGAGTAAAATAATTCACACCGGCTTGAGAATATTAAAAAAAAAACAACATAAAATATCTCAGTGATTTATGTTGATGCCATGTTGAAGTGATATTTTTGATATGTTGGGTTAAAATATAGTATGAAAATCAATTTCACCAGTTTGGTTGGGCTTTTGGAAATGTGGCTCTTAGGATATGTAAAACTGCATATGTGACTCATATATTCCTGTTGGACAGCAGGGGTCCGAATCACCTACCAGAAACTGGTCCCAGAGATGATCATCGTGGATCATCAGAGGAGGATTGAGACTGAAGCTGCCTGTAACCGTGGAGTGGAGGGAGGTGATGTCATTGGCCAAGCATGGTGTGCTTCCCCACTCTGGGAAGCGACTCTTCTCCTCTGGAAGGCAGGCAGCGTTTGTGCAATGGGATCATCTATTCCCTGCTGGATCCTGCTTCCTCTTACTGCAGGGTCACTGCCTTGGGGCTGCTTCTCTGCTGCTATGCCGAGGGCATTCTGGTGATCCAGCCACATCTCCTATCTAAAAGTCCCCTTCATCTAACCTCTACTCTCCCATCCACAGTTTTGCACATGGCCGCCACCCCACAACCACCGCTGCCTTCTCCATTCCCCTCCGTGGCGACCCTGGGCCAGACCTCCTGCCTGTGACTTGGAGAGCCACACTTGCAGATCGAGCCACAGATTACAAGGCAACTCACAGGCCTCATCTCCTCTGATGCTCCTTCTCCTACCCTGGCCCCGGTGCAGCAAAGCTGTCAGTAGAGATAATAAAATCAGATCGTCAAAGGAGGCGGGGGAAAAGGCATCTGAGAATGAAAAGGTAGATAGAAGGCTTTGGACTCTGAGCACAAACTGGCTGTTGACTTGAGGTGACTTTCTGAGGAATGAAACTGGGGGTGGATAATGGCCGGGAGAAGAACTCCTGATTTACCTCAACGTAGTAAGTAAGCAAGCACACACCAGCCAGCGCGGGTACAGAGTCTCTCAAAAAATAGCAGCAGAAAGGACAAGGAGACTCGGCATCCCAGGAGTCCTGAAAGCTCCCCCACTCCCTGTTGGGTGGAGAGGACTGGAGACATGGTGAGGTAACGAGACTCACCCCAGGCCCAGGCCCGGAGTGAGCTGGTAACAGAGCTGCTGAGTAGCCACCGCAGCATCAGGTCTCTGTGTTGACCTTTGCCATGACCTTGGCCTTTCTGACTTTGATGGTATGCTCTTACTTTGGGGGAGATAAATTCTACCACCAAGGCAAACCCCTTTCGAGCAGAACTCTGACTGCCAGAGAAATGACCAGAAAAATCACCTGTGCCACACCATCCCTCCCCTCAAAGGCCACCAGAGTCAGGGTTCTAGGGCAGTTCCACCCAAGTCCTCAGAAAACGGAGGGCTACAACATCGCACGTGAGTAGTCGCAAACCCCTCCCCTTTATTTTCAGTTTCCACTTTTATTGTACATTTTTACAGAGAGTCTTGAATAGCAAAACAGTCACACCGGGGGGGTGGCGATGGGCAAGGGGGATGGGCGATACCGGAGAGGACTCTGTAAACGGCATCGTCACACTCACGACACAGACACACCGGTACACACGGACGTGGAGGGGTCCGAGGGCCACCCAGAAAGGAAAGGAATGGAATGCTTGGGGTCCAGGAGAGAGAGAGGGACACAGAGTTCCTCAGGAAGCGACACCAGTCCTTGGGAACGAATAGGAGAGGCTGGCGTCTGTCAAAGGGATGCCAGGTTGAGCTGCGGCTGGGCAATCCCAGGTGGGACCCAGATTTCTCAGCACTGAACAAACACCCCTGTGCTGGGCAGTCTCCCCCATTCCTGGCTGGGCTATGTCAATGGCAATTTTTGAACTTCCCTAAGAGAAGGTCTCAACACAACATCGATCCACTGCAAAGCATAAAGTGCACAGACCCTTTTGGGAGTACATTCTTTTCTCATTTAGAATCTAGGATTCAGTTTTTCCCAAACAAGATCATACTTAGAACATATCCCAGTGTGTGTCCCACCCAGAGGACTCCCTGCAAAAACTTGGAGGCTTCCAATGAAGTCATGGGCTTCTCCAGTGGGCAAGAGAAAGCAGGTCCTAGCTCCTTGAAACTTATCCTAAACTTAAAAATCATTAAACCTTTCAGAATCTAACTTGTTCCTACCACTTGGGTAGGTACAGCTGGAAATAATGCTAGAACTGGTCAAAACAAACAACGAGGCATTAACCACATGCTTTGGTTAAAAGTTAACTGTTTCAGTTCATGGTTTATGTGTTCCATCATTCTCTGGGAATAAGCAAGAGGGACAACAGTGCCCTTTGCAAAATTGGCCTTGGGATGATAGGAAAGAATCTGGGAACACGTGAAGTAAATTCAGGAGCCAATTTCTCTGGAAGGTCTGAAGGAAGAAGATAATCCCATGTGTTTCTGGTGGACAGGTAAAGTCCTATTTAGCAACCAAGATGACCTCTCTCTCTTATCCCTTTAACAGCAAGGCACAGAAACTAGATGCAAGAATTCCATTTCAGTGAGGGCGCTGCTGCTGTAGATAACTTGAACCGTGTGTAATTCATACGGCACTTCATGTTTGCAAATGTCACCCTTAGTATACCATGAGGTAAAGTGTTATCACCATCCTCACATTGTAGCTGAGGAAGTTCAAGTATGGAGAAGACACAGTGCCCAGAGTCAAATCATTTTAGTGCAGAACAGAAATGAAATTTACAGTAGATTCATTATACAAGTGTAGCTTAATTAGTGAGTTACTCTGGCTTCAGTGCTCTTACACCTATGATTAGATTGAGATGGCACCTGGGGGGAAAAAAGAACAAGTAGGGGAGATGTGTGTGTGTGTGTGTGTGTATACATATATACATATATATACATATATGTATACATATATATGAGAGAGAGAGAGAAGTAAATCCCCAAACAGGAAACATTTAGTCCTGTTCCACCTTCTAATATTGAGCTTTCATAGGCCTCTTTGTTCTGGGGGCTCAGAACCTGTGCTCCTAATGCCAAGAACCGAGAGTCAATGTGATGCAGAACAGTATGGTTCTGTGGCCATAAAATGTCCTCATAGTCCCATCTGCTAATCCTGAGAAAACCATGCATTAGAGAGGTTTGGGGCCACAGCCATCATGACCGGGTACACCATAGATGACAGTGTGATGGAATTATGGACGAAATTGTAGTATTTTTGTTTTTCACTTTTATAAGTAAAAAACATGTCTACAATGAACATGTATTACTCAGGAGAAAAAGCTCAATAGCTGATATTAACATATTCTAAGAGCAGGAAATCAAGTTTAAGAAACATTTTACACCTTGGAAGAATCAATGGAAAGATGCCAAATACAATCCCAGAAGCCAATGGCTCTGAGAGATATTAGAATCACTTGTGTTCATCAACTCTGTGGTGGGCTTGCTTAAAAATCTGTCCCCTTTCTCTGCCATACCAACTGGAAGACAGCACCAAAGCCGGTCCAGCTGGTACACACCAATGGCTTCTCTATGTGCTGAAATCACCTCTCACTCCGACTCATCACATTTACCAGGACAGCACTGGATGTGTTCACGGGGATGCTTAGTCCCAGGAGCAGACAGAACACTTTCAGAAAAGCAGTTTCACTTGAACTGAAAGAAACAACCGAGTGTCACATAAACCACACCAAAGAATGACTAGGGTGTGCATTTCTCCCCACTTCTTCCCTTGTATACTTGCAAACCAGTTCATGAACACTCTCAGCATAAGCTAGGTGAATATGTTCCTTTCTAAATGCCTCTAAATGGTCTATTTGATTTTTTGAAGTCTGACATTGGCTCAGGTAGACATCTTGGGAATCCTAAACTGCACATTCTTCCACTAAATCAGGATAACCCCATATGATGCTTTCATGCCAGGCCTTTTACTGTAAGTATGGACCAATACTGAGAGACAGTCTCCAGGTACCCTCTCCTCTTGGAAGGCAAGGAAGCACTGCTGGGTGGAAATGCCCAGTGGGAGAATAGACCAATATGGCGCCGGGACCAAGAGTGCTACACAGGGATGTGAGGTCCAGGAAGGCTGGTCTTGATTTGGTGGAGCTGTCCAGTTTTTGTAACTTCATAATCCCTAGAGGTCAAAGGGTAGAGTTGCTGAAACGCTAGGACTTGTGGGAAGGTTGAAACTGGAATGGGTGCAGTCTTTCATTTTTTAAATTTTGATGCCGGTGAGCCACAGACTTCCTTATGAAACCTAACGCCACAACAAAGATGGGGGCTACTTGGAGTCTGTCTCTACCCTTTCTAGATATGAAGTACTTAACTATTTTAGCTGACTAAGGTAGGTTCAGAGGCAAGTAGAAGAGGGTAGGAAGAGAAGAAACCATAACTCCCAAAATGAGGGGAGAGAAAAATGGGATCTCTCTCTAGGCAAACATGCCACTTTTCTGAATCCCTAATCTCGGAGGGGAGAAAAAATAAATAAAAGTTGAAATGGGCCCTGTGCTCAAGGTTGGCTGGCATGGAGCTTACAGCATAAGCTTGATAACATACTTGCATGCACACGCCATAAGGAATTTGAACTTGACCTGGATGGGAACTGGGGGTCTTATAGAGGCCACTGACCCTAAGCCCCTCTTTAGGTTTGGTTCTAGTTCAATTTGGAGTTAGCAGCGTCTGGCTTTGAAAGCCTCACAGGTCAGGTCTCTTTTTTGCTTCTTCCTCAGCTGCCTTACAGTCAGGAGGCTTCAGGAACTGCTCGGAGGGGTGTGGTTTAAATCTATGGTCAAGCTCCTTTGCTGAGAGAATCTTCAAAGTCACCTGGGCTCTTTTCCTATTGGCTAGGATTTGCCTCCTAGACAGGGGCTTCCATTTTGACCATGAGCCTGGCCATGTTACTCTTCCCAAGCAGGACAGACCCCAGAGTGCTTGTATCTGTACCTTTCTGGCCCCAATATCAGAGAGCTAAAAGGCCCTGCTCTGCAGATGTGGAGATGACACAGATGCTCTACTTCCCCAGAGTCCTTCTGACATCTCAGGGATGCTCAAATTTCAAAGGGATGCAGTAAATTTCATTAAAGTTTCAACACAAAGATAAGTACTGGATTGGGCAGATGATATACTTGTAGCAAGTATGTATAGAAAAAGAGGGTATAAATAATGATAGTTCTATGAGCTAGTGTCTTCAAAAATGGTTACTAAAGAAGTTTAAACGGTTGATAGAAATCTGTCCCATTTAGAATTGTTTCCCCCACTTTTCTGCAACTGGAAAGCAGCTGGAATTTGCATCTAGTCACAGATAAACCTCTGCCCCAAATGGATGCTCACAGATACTTGCTCTCCCTGTCTAATTCAAGGTGCTTGGTAAAAAGTCACAAGGCCTCTCAATCTGAGATACTTTTTTTTCACTCTTCCCTTCTCCCAAGTATGCCATTTCCCTAAAGGGAGAGATCAAACTTTCAAAGAAAAATGAAAATAAAATTCCCATTTAAAAAACTAGGGTTTCCTGAAAATTACTTCCCTTCTCATGTGGGTCTTAAAAACAATCCTTGGAACCTCCATCAGAAGCCAACAGCACTTCTTTCTACCCAGCTCTCCTCCATCGCCCGGTACACCCATACCAAGGGCACTCACACGCTAGACCTTTTGCAGAAGCTGACTGGGCTCCCTGGAGAGGGAGTCTTGAGTAGGGCATCCACACTTGTGTGCAGGTGTGTACTAACACAGACAAGCAAAATGCACCAGAGATACACACAGCATCTACACTCAAGCCCATTCACGCACATCAGATGTCATAGCCAGATATGGATTATACACACACACGGTCAAGAAGAGCAAATGACAGGCTGGACTTACACGGATGCAAGGTGCCAGGGCCAGTGGTCAGTAGGTAAGAAGAGGGGAGAGCTGGTTGGAAGACAGGTGAAGAAACAGCAATGAGGAAGGCAGGCTGCTGAGTGTTGGCAAAGTTCCCAAAGTATATGAGCTATTAAACAGCTAGATTCTCTGCTGCAAGGTCAACTGTGGCTATGTCAGCTCAGGGATTCTCTCCCTGCTTCCCCTGGGGCTGCTGGGCACCAGCAGGGCCCCTGAGGTGACTGACCTACTCCGGCCCTACAGCATCCACAACTCTGATTTCTCTCCACTCACCAGCACCTGCCTCGCCATTTTGCTCAAGTGGGCCTGAGACACTGGGGTGGATTTATTTCACCTCTGTTTGGGTGCTAGCTACTAAGACAACTATTTTGGGATTCATGGCCTTGAATATCAAGAGGAAAGGGAAGAGGATGGAAAGTCAAGAGTTCTCCATTAATTTACACAATATCATACAAATTTGAGCCCATGGGTAATGGAGGTGTTCTCTCTGCATGTGACTCGTTTTCCTTCATCTGTACAGACGTTACCCCTAGGAAAGGGGTAGATGTCCAGTGACAAAGGACAGCCCCCATGTTGGGGAGTGAAGGTCTTGTTTGGTATACGTACTTGTACAACAGCAACCAGAGGCGACATTCCTTCTCCCTCCTGAACTGTGTGTTCCCCCCTCTTCTCTCATGGCTTTTGTGCCCAGCTGTGTCTTGAACTTCCAAAATTAGAGGACTAAATCCTGTGGCGATCCAGAACTGTAATGTGCAGAGCCACAGGGTCCTCTGGCCCAGTGGTTTTGTTCTCGGTTCTGCTCTCTGGGAATTTCTGTTGTACCAAAAGTAATAGAAAAAATGCAACACAGCTAATAAAACCTCCCACTCAGGCAGCATCCACCACATGTGCGTTCTCTCTCTCTCTTTCTCTCTTTCTCTCTCTCTGTCTCTCTCTGTTTTTCTTCAAGCATCTGCAGCTGCAGCACCAAGTACTGGCATCCTTAGAGGCCTGCCTCTCATACTTTCTAGGAATCTGGGCTTCCATCTCAGCCATGAAACCACCATAGTGATAGAGAGACAATGGTCAAAATGCAATATTTCCATTTAAAAGGCGGAAAAGAAATAAAGGAAACCACCCAGTGTTCACACACACACATACACACACACACACTCACACCACATCACACCACTACTCCAAGGCTCTGATCTGCCCAGGGAGTGCAGGTGGGGAGGACGGGGTGGCCTCTTGTTTACTGGGCGTAAGGCAGCTGGAAGGTAAGACTGGGCTTTCTGAGCATCCACTGAAGTGTCCTTTTATTGGTGTGGATCTTGCCTCTCAGCATGTTCTCTCCCCTTCCCACCTCTAAAATTTTGTCCGAAAGTTTGGCCACAGAGAGAAAACTTCCTTCTTGGTTTGTTTTCTCGTCTACTCCTTGTGTGTTGCTGGTGGGCCAGGAAGGAGCTCAGACAGGAAGAGCAGGAGGAGTGGTACTGAAAATGGCCTTGAAGATGTGGTTCCGCTCTATGAACCAGGGGGCCGCGCTTCCCTGGGACATGTCCGCGGGGTGGTGTCCTCTCCTGCTGGCCCAGTGCGTGGCACTTCCTTCTCACATCTGGGTTGCTCCAGACCACTGCCACTGTCCCTTCTAGCTCCCCACCACGTGCTCATGAGTGACGGGGACCGAGATGCTATCGCAGGTGGTGATGTTTGCTTTGTCTTCAAGAAACTGTGAAGCCAAAAGTCAAGAATTGATGGAAGAGCCACAGGATGGGAACACTTTCCCCATCTTGGTGATGAGGCAACACAAAGTCTGGCGAGATGCAGGTGCCTGAGCCAACTCAACTCTACCTTGGCACTGGCATCGTCTTGATTGAGTTTTGTTTTATATATGTATATTATATATATATTTATATATATATATGTGTGTGTATGGGTTTGTTTTTTTAGCACACTGTCCCATTCTCGGGTCTGGATTTAGGGCAGTTGGTCCTCGGGACAGGTTGGACAGAAGGGGCCAAGGTACAGAAGAATCCCGAGATTAGCGTGAGGCCCAGGCCCCCCCACGCACAGAACATGGACCATCCATAGCCGTGGCTGATGTCATCGGGGAGTCCATACAGGTAGCGTGGGTAGCGTGACAGCTCAAAGTTGATCCCAGCCACACAGGTGCACAGTGAAATGATGCAGAAGGTTCCTGGAGAACAAGGGGGAAAGTTGGGGTGGGGAAGCAGAGAGGGAAAGGGAAGAGGAGAGGGAGGGAGAGAAAAATTAGGGTTATTACATTTTCAAGTTTCTGGAGGAAGAAAAATGAGAAGATTCAGGTTAGAGCAGATGATCACAGAGGTCACCATCTGGAATATTCACAGGGAAGACAGTATTAAGGGATCATCACTTCCTTACTCTAAAAAGTTCCCAGTCTTGGACAAACCCAGGAAGTCTCTTCTTTTTGGAAAACACCCCAAATAACTATCTCGTTAGGAGTTTTGTGGAGGGGGAAGTGAGGCAGGACAGCATTCAGTTCATTTTTCTAAAGCATGTTAAATTCATTTTCTTTCTTTTTTTATATAAATATTTTTTAGTTGTAGTTGACACAATACTTTTATTATTTATTTATTTCTATGTGGTGCTAAGTATCAAACCCAGGGCCTCGCAGGTGCTAGGCAAGTCTCTACCACTGAGCCACAACCCAGCCCCTCATTTTCTTTCTTTGAAAAGAGAAAAGTTCTCTTTTAGTACTTAAAGTTCTTTCTGATACATAACATCTTATGCAGTATTATTTCTCCCATCTATTCACTAATAACTCTTTGGCCAGCAGGAGAAAATTTCTTTCTCAGTTCGCTTTCTCAGATTGCTAACTCCTGGAAGTCATTTTTCATTTCCAATAAGACAACATTTCCTAAAGCATCCTCCATGGAACACCAGCCCTCTGAGACCCTCCTTTGCAGTGTGGGGTGGGAGGGGCTGAGTCAAAACAGTGGGAGCCTGAATATGCTTTTTCGCTCAGGAAGACTCACAATCCATGTTGGCACAAGTTCACTCAAATCACCTAGTTCTAAGAGCTTTTTCACAAGCTTGTTTGGTGCTGGGACCTCCTCTTAAAGTTATTCATATTGACCATCAATCAGAAGACTGCTATAAGAGGTAGAATAGGATACAATGTTTTAGAATCAAATCCATTTTTAACCTGTATAAATATTTGGTATACCTAGGATGAATTCAAGAACTTCTCCAGTATTTGTTCTCCTATGTTTTTTTTAACCCCCCGATGACCTGCAGAAGTATGTACAGTTTTCCAAACAGTCAAGTTTCTTGAAGGTCCAGCCTATATCTTCCAGAAGATACCTGAAGGACAAGGGGGAAGAGTGGAGTAGGATAACGAGTCTGTGATCATTTAAGTGGCCACAGCAGCTGCAGTGATACCCAGACACAGAGTAAGGGCATGTGCTGGGAATTATGCTAAGTGCTCAGCAGGTATTGAAACTTTAATTCTTAAAACAACTCTATGTTACTACCCCATTTTACTACCCCATTTTACTGATGAGGGTATCGAGGCCCAGAGAGGTGAAGTCAGCCAGACCACAGCTTGGGGTCTTCTCCATTTTCTATTTAAGACTGGCCATCAGGCAAGGTGGTCCCTTCATAGAAACACCCTCCCCATGTATGATGGTCCACTTAGGCTCCAGCTCAGTGTGGACTGGTGGGCTGTAGTCCTGGAGGGCTAAAGCAGATGGCTGGGTCCCATCCCACAGTCTCAGGTTCATAGGTCTTTGTGCTCTTAACAAGTTGTTGGAGGATGCTGATTCTGAGGGTCAGGTGGCCATACTTCAGAACCACTGGGTTAGGAAAAAGGTTTTATTGAAGAAAGAGGAAATGTAATAGGTCAAAGTTCAGAACACAGAAGCAGAAATAAAAATAGGCAATGAAGGTAAAATTTTTTACCCATAATCCAAGAATTGAAATTTCAAAGTATAATGATAGTTTATGATCTATCAAATCATAAAGTTTTAGTTTGATTTTTGGATTTGCCCTGTTTTCTAAATGATCATCTCCAGAAGTAGTAAGGTACAAAAAAGTGGACCCTCCCATAGACTCTAGGGGAACTGTAAATTTGTGTATACAATAGTCATACCTTTGACCTAGTGATTTCATTTTAGGTTAAGAAAATAATCCTACCTGGGGACAAAGATCAGGAACAAAAATAGTTTATGTGGTGGAGCATGTAGGGAGGAGGGACTGACGAGAGCCCTGATGCTGGGATGAGCACTATTTCCTGAGCTGAGAGGTTTGAGCTTCGCGTGGAGTCAGTCCTTGGAGGGGTCAAGGCATTTTGGTGACTCCAATGTGCATTTTCAGAGACCACTGAGCCAGAAGCGCAGAGGATAGTCCAGAGGTAAGGAGACCAGCTAGGAGGCCACTGTGGGCATGAGAAGAGAGGAGGATCTGGCAAGACTGGACCAGAGTCTGGAGATCCTAATGGCTTAGTGAATAATTGCTTCAAGAATGATTAGTTGTAGAGACAACGGGAAGTGATGTGCCAGGGGTGATGTGGACACAAGTGCAATATGTATATATGTCACGAATGACTGTGTGCGTGAGTATGTGCTTATGTGTGTTCATGTGTATATTTGTGTGTGCATGTGCATGTATTCCATGTGTGTACATGCTTGGGGGGGGGGCAGTAAAGTATACACACAGCCATTACTTGTGAGAATAGTAAGGATAGTCCCAAACCTGTGGGGGTCACAAAGCAAATCATTCCCTTGTGTTGTGACTAGTTCTCAGAGTGAATTCTTTGATGTTTCCCAGGACTAAGTCTCAGCTCAGACTTCCTAAATCCAAATCTCTTGGGGGATAACATGGGCATCATTAGTTTTTGAAAGTTTCACAGATGGTCTATGGCCATACCACCCTGAACGCGCCCGATCTCGTCTGAAAGTTTCTCAGATGACTCGTGTAGATCAGCCTTTTGGAACCCTCGTGTTGGGGCAGAGGTGCTTTGTACTACCTGGAGACAGAGCTCTAGGTAGGAGAGGGCACACAACAGTCCATGGGGTACAGCCAAGAGGAAAGCAATTGCCTGGGTGTGGCAGAGCAAAAGAAAACTGTGTCTTGACATGATTTTCAAATATTCCAAATTCTAACAAACAAAACTGGCCTGTTTGTGTCTCAGATAGTGTGGCTATGTTTCTCATTGCTAGCCTGAGAACCTATCATTGAATGTTCAAGTATAAAATTTGCTAACATATAGATTTAAGACAGAATGAATGTGTGTATGCGCTTGCACACACATACATACATACACAGCCACAGTGGGGTGAGTTCAAATTTGAGCTGTCCATGGGATGTTCAAGGCACTGAGAAACATGGATCTGGAGCAGTATAGAAAGTTCTGCCTGGAGATGTGGACCAAGCCAGCCTCTTATAACTTGAAGCTCTGGATGTGTTGAGGTCCTGTGAAGACTTTACATAAGCCATATTTACAAAGGACACTTTGGAAAATGGGAACATTTTTTCTCATCAGCAGCTGTACTGTCCTCTTCATGAAGTCCAGGGATTTGTTTTGGGGGAGAAGGTCCATCTCAATGGAGTGTCGGCCTTCCCAGGCTGCCTGTGGCTGCAAGAGCTTGATATTAACACACTTTTCATAGCATATTCCACCAGCAGGATGCACAAAGAATGTGGTTGATAAATTGTGAGTGGAGAGAAGGACCATGTGGACCCAATTTCCAATGGGAAATGACTTCTAGAGAACATACATCTTCTTACGTTATGATAATGGAGTTAGTTGGGGCATTTTCCTGCCTTCACTTCCTATCAGTTGTACTGTGCCTTTGGAATCTTTCAAAATTCTTCTTTTCAATATTCCCAAAGATAGGAAAAACGTCCATGGCTCTCACTCAAGATGGTCCTTTAAGTTGGTAGGTCTGTGAGAAATGTTTGAGGATAATGTGTAGACCTGTTTCTGGATTTGTCTAAAAGTTCTCTTAATAAAATGCCCAATTAAAAAAAAAAAAAGATGGCCCTTTAAGCCACTCATCTACACAACTTGCCAGGAAGTTTCCCTGTACAAGAAGAGAAGAGTTGGAACAAGTTTTGTTTCTACATATGCTACTCTTTCTGTTATGAACAAGGATTTATATTTTTATATGCTTCTCTACTAATAAATTCAAATTTAAAAATGTATTTTAATAGATAGAAATGGCTAGAAGTAGGAATGTACTAGATCCTCAATAAATGAATCAAATGAATAATGAGTTGCCCTTGTTCCTCAGCATTGTATTCTGATAGTTTAAATCACAAGGTGCTTCAACAGATAGCAATTGAGTCCTGGGGAGTGGGGGAGGGGAAGACAGAGAAGCAAGGCCCCTGCCTGAATGTTCTCCTCTTAATGACACAGCTCTGCCAGTAAATTGGTGGCTAATTGGGGAGTGTGGGGTGCATAATTCCCCCCAGCAACTTGCTGGGGTTAGATGGGGGCCTTTGGGAAATTAAACAAAGATGTTAAATGGCTCTGATGGAAAAAAATGTCTCCATGTAAGGGCAGCAATAGGCATCATAGCATGGAAGTTGCAACCCAAAGTCCCATGGGTGGTGGCACAGGGCTGGGGATTGCTGAGGAAACATAAGGGAGATTCTTCTCAGAAGAGTCCAGGTCCAGCCCACTCTATGGGAAGCAGGAAGTAGCAGACATGGCCTCTGAGGCTAGGTCTTTATGCTTGGTCATTTAATTTCTCATGAGTACTTAGCCATAGATAAGTGAGGATACGAGAAAGGCAATAGTAATAATGCATGGTACTATCTTCTTAACAATACCTCCCATGGGTTGGGGTTCAGGCCTAATTCCGATCATACTCCAATTCTAATTGTAGTTCCAGTGCAACAATTAAGTGACAAGAACTCTGCCCACTTGGAGCAAGGCTGTGGTATGTGCTGCAGATGCTGGCTGTGAATCAGGACAAGTATGACTCTGGCTAGGGCAATAGTGGTGCTTGTGGTAAGCAATGTCAAGTCTGGGGGTGGGGACAGATTGGCCAAGATTGGGTGGAGGGGACAGTTCCTGTGACAGTGGGCTCCATGGAATTCAGAACAGATAATCAGCAAGTGTTCGTTGAACTTATATGTTTGTGCCAAGCACTATGCTGGATACTAGGGAGATTTAAAAAAAGGAGATGATGAGATGATAAAAAGAGTTGA